TAGTCTGGTCTCAGGTATTTATATAGCTGTAATTATGTTAACATGAGTTCTACACTCAAAGAAGGGCGAAGCATATTCATGAGAGAAAAGCCCATATCTTCCCGTCAGAGATGATGTTACATAGGGACTATTACCGCAAGAGTTCAGTTGAAAAAATATCTCTGCTGGTGGGCCTCAAGGGACCTGACGCCAACACGAACTGACTAGCGGTAAACCGTCAGTCGTAAAGTAACTCTGACTTTTGATTTCGAACATAGGTTATTCAGTGATTGAGGTCATCTCTTCCTAACGGACCCAACAGAATAGGCGTCTCCACGTCACCTGAGGGTGGAAAGGGATCCAGTTTCCGAAAGGACGTGTTCTCTGGTATTTTTAGAATACCGGACGATGGGTAAATTCCAAAAGCTAATTAATTTTGAGTGTTATGCACCAGCGTCATAACCCTTTAGAATCTACAGATGTTGTTTCGGGTTCCACAGATGATGAGAATTTCGTGACTGCGAGAAGGACTATTAGCTTTCATGAAATATCGTAGCTCAAGAATATATAATGAGGCTGCAGAAAGATGTCCCTTGGACGATGAGGCTTCTGTCTCTCTGTCTACCGCTGCATGCTTCTCCAGCTCCTGTCTAGTCTACGCCAAGCAGTCCGAGAGCTACACACCGTCAGCGAATATTAGCAGTGTAAACAGAATGCCTACACAGCAGATGCGGGCTAGGATACGCTGGACGGCAAGTGCAGCGATTCAACGGAGATTTGGAGGGGATGAAAAAATGGGGCTTCTTTCCACGGCCTCAGTAAACTTACGTATGAGTATGGCGTTTACTGAAATCTAAGGAATTTCGTGTAATTGGATTAATAATCAGATATATTATGAGTTAGGTTCAACACGGTTTTTTCACCTGAAGTATGAATTACTCTTGAAATGGCCTCGTTTTGCTGAAAAAAATAACCTCTAACGACCGTTTAAAATATAAGGCAACAACATCCGCTGCTAAGCAACAGATTCTTAATAAGAAAGTATACCCAGCCGTTACTGAGTAACGCCTTCACAAACAAACATGGTCCCACAAAAACGACTGGAGTGCAACAATGAACTGTGTTTTCTACGCGATCCGTTCCTAGCTTTTATAAAGAGGACAAGTGTAGCAAGTATTCAGTGGCAGTTGTAGGGGAGTCTGTGAAAAGAAGACTAAATCGGTGCAGTTGAATAATCCCCACTGTTAGAAGTCATTACCAAGAAATGACTGGCGAAGAGAGCAGACTGAAGAGACTCAGCGGGTGTTGTAGTGATTTGTTAAGTATGTAGATAAGGGATGGGAGTAGGGATAGAGCAGTCGGCATAGCAACTGGCAACGGGCTGGATGACTGAAGGGTCGGAGTTAGGGTCCCGGCACGGTCAAGAATTTTCTCTTCTCCACATCGTCCAGAACGGCTCTGGGGCCTACCCAGCTTCCTATCCAATGGGTATCAGAGGCTCTTTCCCAGGGGGTAAAGCGACCGGGGCGTGAAGCTGACCACTCACCTCCAACTAGTTCTGAGGTAAAGAAAATGTGGATCTATACATCGATTCCCCAATACGCCTTCGTGGCGTAGTGCTTAATTAGTTAAGCACAGGAACAACTTTTGCTTTACGTGTAGATAATTAAGTGTAGTCACGAGTCGTGTGTAAAGTAGTCAATAAATTCAATCTCCAGTCCAAACCCCGTCTGCAGTCACTCATACACGTGGAAATACGTATTACAGTGGGTCTTAGTAGAATGGGATCTGATAACGGCAATTAATTTGGATTGGAATAGAGTTCGGTAGCTAACACGAGTTCCATAAAAGAGCATGGAACTTCCTAATCAGCGAGTAACAAACAGCTTCGCAAGAAATGCTTTATACTGTCACGTGACTGACAACAGACAGGGTTTGGTTTGGTAATCGGTTGTGTTGCGCATATAAAACTCGGAAATTAAAGTGAATATTTACCTCTCCTTCTTGTTTTTTGCTCCCACTTGGAGCATAGGGCATCCATTAAACGCTTCGTTTCACTTCAGTTTCTTAACCTAAGAGAGTCGGCAGGACCCCTTTGACGGGGGATCAGCCAGTCGCAAGACCGCTACCTAACACAAACAGAATTCCAAGCCTTGAGTGGGATTCCGTGGTCGACANGGGAGGGGGGGGGGGGGGGGGGGGGGTCTATCGCTGAGTGTAAAGCGACAAGGGCGTCATGCTCACTATTTACCTCCATCTAGTGTCGCGGTCAAGAGTAGTGGAGCTATACCTTCACTCCCCCATATTTACTAATTAAGCATGGACAGAATTTTGCCTTTACTTTTATTTACATTAGAAATTAATTAATTTTATGAATCTCCAGCCGATCAGTGGTGTGTAGGTAGCGGCATTGAGACTGGCTGATCCCCCGTCTAAGGCGTCCTACCGTCTGTGTAAAAGATTAGGAAACGGAAAAAGTGGACTAGATAGATAGATAGATAGATAGCCAGATAGATAGATAGATAGATTATATATCTCCAAAACTACGCAGTTACAACATTTGATGTGGCACGAATCGCACAGAAAACAACATTTGATGTGGCACGAATCGCACAGAAAACACCACCAACAACAGCTCTTCTATTGTTGAGTGCTTATTTGTTTATCGTAGAAACATGTTTACAGAGCCGCTCTGATGGCTTCGTTCATTCGCCTTTCAGGCGTCATGTCTCATTACGTTGATTGAATAAATATAAAATTGTATTTATATACATAAATTTAAGGCATAGAAGCAATGAAATGGTTGATAAGCTGAGGGAGGCCATTATATACTTTTCGGAAACTAATGCCATTATAGAAACTCCAGTGGGATCTGTGAGCATGGAGAAATCATAAGAAAAATGCGACGTTCTTCGTTGGTGAGGGGGCTCAAAAAGAGTTAATATAACATTTGAATTAATTACAGATATGGATGTAACTTAACTGATAAGCATATATTACAGGGGAGAAAATTGTGGTTTAGCTCCATGCAGTCTTAATCTTGGAACTAAACAGAGGTCACTGGTCATCTTCACCCTCCGGCTGTTTTACACCCGCAGAAATACACAGAGGTCGGTTGTCATCTTCACGCTCCGGCTGTTTTATACACGCGGAAATAGGCTCGGTCTCCTCTGAGAAGGAGGCGGGGTTAGCCCCAGATCCGGTCTGCAAGCCGGTATGATAAGAAAGAGAGAAATCTATTACCCTTACCAGCAATCGAACCCAAATTTCTCGGTTGTCCAGCCCATAGCCTAATCACTATATTGACTGAGCTATCCAGGCTCTTCCTGTATTTCAGTAGGAGCTTGTAATTCTGCCATCACCGTTGATTCTATCAGAAAGACAGGCAAGGGAACAGAGGTTACAGCATTTTTAGGAAACGCTCACAGAAACTTAACTATTTACAAAGTTAATAGAAAGTCCGTCGAGTGTAACAATTTGTAGGTCACTTTTTATTATTATTTCTGCCTTACATGTTTCGGTTTGACACAACCATCATCAGAGGCACTTGCTATAATTATGGAAACACTGTCGCTGTTTTTGATGTTACAATTAGGTTTGTCGTGTGGACGTTGCTACGATATGTTGACGTGTAAAAGCACAAAACATGCTAAGATAGTTGAGTACACTCTCAAGTTCTCACTTTTCATCCGAACCTATTTTTAAGTTAAAACGCTAAAATGGTAAAATATTTTATCTAAAATGCTGAACTCCTCCTTGTTAATTCATCCCGAAGATGGGAGACGTCAGCTTGGGGTTGTATGGCTTGTGGTTTGATATGTTCCTGTGTGCTGTGTACTATTTAACTATTTATTTAGTTTTAATTGGAAAACTAGCGGCCTCGATTCCCGATGAGCTCATTGTATTTTTCAATTGACCTAATCCTTCCAGCCTCACTATGGCCCTGGGGTCGACTCAGCCTCTAACAGAAATGAGTACCAGGAATATTCTTGGGGGTAAAGGGCGGCCGGCGCGTACGGCTTACATCCTCACCGCCATCTGTGAGCCGATTGCCTAGAAAATGTGGGAACCTCGACATCTGCCTTCACGGCCTGTTAGAGGGATCGTTTTTCAGCNTATATATATATATATATATATATATATAAAGTAAAGCTATCCATGTAACAGGATGTGGAGGCCCACAAGGTTGTAAGACGTCGAGGCACAGATGGCAGTGGGGTTGTCAGCAATAAGCGCCGACCGCCCTTTACCCCCATGAATATTCCTGATACACATTTCTATTAGAGGCTGAGTCGACCCCAGGGCCATAGTGCATAGGC